AAGGAATTCAGCCTTATTAAGAAGAAACTGATACTTCAAGACCACGTAGTTCCAACCCTCCTGCTGCAGCTTCAGGAATTCCTGAACCAGAGTGATTTTATGCATTTAATAACTCTCAATTTATTTCTACCCTATGATCTCATGCAGTCTGCTCCTGAAGCCGCGTGAACTTCCACATCAGCCTACGTCAAGGAGCTTTGTCGATGCTGCACATGAGACAAAACCTGATCAAACATGACATTCGCTGGATTCGGTGCCTTCTTGCTGTTGTACTGGGGGGAAAAAAGGAATCCATCAATCCCCATTCACCCTATCTATAGCTTGCTTTATTTTATAAATCTCAGTAAGACTCCCACAGTCATCCTTTGTCCAAACTAAAGAGACATAGCTTCCAAAATTGTTCTTTCTTTAGAGTAGCACCATGCGTTTGATCGTCTTGTTACCCTTCTTTGAACCTTTTTTAGCCCTAGATCTTTGCTAAGATATTCTTTAAGGGGAGGTGAGGAAAGTATAACAACAGGACTTAGGAGAGCATGGATTTACACGGGGAAGGAATGAAGTTCTCTGTTTTGTCTTTCCCAGCAGTGACTCCTGAACACTGAGCTGTTGTTGCCATGAAACTGTCACAGCCCCCAGGTTTTTCTCCTGAGAGGTAGTCTTCGCTTCAGGGGCTCTCCTCTTAGGCAGGAGTGGAGTCAGGTGTGTTTTATCTTATATGCATCTTTTCCCAGATACATATATATATACACACACACTGAATTATCATTTGACACCTAGTTGGTGATTTTCATAAAGCCCTTCTGCAATTCTTCTGGCAGCCCTACTCTTCCTCTGAATAATTTTGTATCATCAGCAAATATTCATATTCTGAAACTTCGAAGGCACTGCTTTTCAGAGTCATTCAGGCAATGCTGTGAGTTGTTTAAAAGACTCTCATAATTGAAGTATAGGGCAGAAAATCCAATGTTGTCCTTGCAGTAGAGTATATATATACAAGTACATATATGTTGGTCCACCATGTGTATAGTAACTAAGTTATCGCTAAGCAGTGGTGCAAGCTTTCCTGCTTTCCGAAAAGGTGAGACTGGAGGCAGATGCATTTCTGGAGGAGAAGAATCTTCCACTATTATTTCATACCGGCTACAAGAAGGAAACACCTTCCTCGGAAGCTGACAGCAGCTTTTTTGAGGTCATCCTGTCACACCAGTCTGATGCATGCATGTAGTCCTTGATTCAGTGATCTCTTATCTCTCTGGTGTCCTGTACAAACATTTAATTGGCCTATAAACATCTATATGACTTCAGAACAAGATCTTCTCTAGGAGTTTTATACATTTTGTTTTCTGGGAGGAGTTGGGTGAATCTCATATCATTGGTACTTTTGAGGGCACCTGACTTCACTAACAGCCTTCATGATGACAAAAGGAGCCAGTAATAAACCCAGTATCTTTCTAGAAGGGCTCCATCTCCTCCCTTGTCTCATGGTGCACACCATCTTTCTTGAGCAATGAAGGTATTCGTTTCCCAACTGGAGGAACCAAGAGCTACCATTCAGACTGCCTGCTTTGGCTGGGCAGATAGTGGGAAGTATCATGCCCAAGTTAAAGCCTGCTCAGCTTTGAAACAAGCTGTGGAACAGTGTCTTTAGCTTATGCTCCAACAGGTAATGCCATGGCAAACTAAGATTTGGCCCTTATATCTGTGGCAAGGGTACATAAATTATAAATCCAGTTAATTTAAACACATTTAGCTTATCTTGAAGGTCAGTGGGTGAATTTCTCAAGTGATTGAAGTTAAGCATGTGCTTAAAGTACTTTGCTTGATTAAGTCTGGTAAAATCAGCATCTTTTGATGATAGCGATTTGAATAGAAGTAGCAAATTAATAGAGAGGCAGCTGCCCCAGGAGGCCCTGCAGTGAAATGTTGTCTGTCACGGAAACTAGGCCTGGTTTAAACCTGCCTCTGGTGCCCAAGTTAAGAGAAAAGGCAAATGCCTCTGAATTTCTTCCCCACATCTCAACGTAAAATAGGAACTCTGAGAAGCCCCCATCCTAAAAACCTATCCCAGGTGTCTACGTTTAACTCGTGTTGTGCAGTTCTTTGTTTCCAAACATGCTGGAGTGGCATTTAAAGTGACTTTTTGGATGGTGCTGGTCACTGGCTGAAGAAGGCAGAGTGTTTGTCCTCATTTTAGACCAAGGACATTTAGTTAAGAGACTTTATGCTGCCCAACCATACTTCAGCTGTTGCAAATGTGAACGCAAACACCGTGCCATCTGGAGCTATAACCAAATCTGAGATTAAAATATTTGTACAGAAAGTACATAATCAGCTCAGTGATGCTCCTTGGGCAGAAGATGGGGTGACACAGGAACATAATTAACTCTTCAGCTTCTTACAAATCTTAAGCATCAATGGATTTCATGTATGCAAATGCATAAATTAACCCAAAAGAACTTTCATGGTTGTTCAAAACAAACAAACAAACCAACAAACCCCAGCTGGACAAGTAAACTCCTTCCATGATTTTTGCACAGCTTTATCCTGCCTTTCGGTAAGGTGGGGTCAGAGCCACCTCCATCTAAAAACCCGAGCAGTCATCCCTTGGCAGTTGCAGGAGGGCCGCGCACACCATAGCACTCGGGCTGCTCCTGGGCCGTTTCCCCCTTGGTTAAAGGTAAGGGGTTGTTTCAAGCAGTGCTCAGAAAGGGGCATGAATCTGGAGATGTGAGTAGGTTTTAAGTGGCCCAACATCAATCGTTTGCTTTCTTCATACTAGACAAATTGGTGAATTTTTATAAGGGTAAATTGGCAAATTTTTATAAGGGCACACCTTGGCTGGGTGGGGTGTAAAGATTATGAAATAAACCAGAAATGACCTCATAACAGACTGTGTCATTTTTCTACAGCTCCCCACCAAGGAGACGGTGTTTGTACAGTCACCCTTATCAGTACTGGGACAGGCACCATCTGTCATTTTAAATATAGATAGATATACCACTTATTATTGCTTAGTAAGTGGAAAATGCTGGAAAGCAAGGTAGAAAATGCGCAGAGTTTTGAAAAATCAAAGATAGAAAATGTTCCTGGCTAGCAATGCCATTCCAGAGTGGCACTGAAAAGGTAACTCCTCCCTTTGGCCCCCTCCCCTGCTGAGAAGAGTGGTGGAAATGATAAACATTTTAACACAGTGTGGAGCCCACTGTCATATTTAACTTAAGTCTGTCTTATATCATTGAAGGTAAATGCCTAATCTAGCGATTAGCACTCTATAAATACCACAGATTTGTGAGTGAAGGTTAGATGGTAGATTAGATATGTGGTGTATATCTTCAGACTTCTCTTTACACATTTTATTTGTGATAAAATGAGCAAGT